TTCTATGTCTACTGAGTCTCCAATTGGCTGCCCCAGGGACACTCCCCACTCATCCCTTCAGTGCCCACCTAAACTGCACCTCCTCAGTTCCCACTTCACCAATAGCAATCCTGCCCAAGCCAGAAGTCAGAAGTCTGGGCCTCATCCTGACTTTCCCACTGGTAACTCATCAGTGGCCACATTCTGCTGATTCTGCCTCAACCTCTCGAATTTCTTAACTCTAGCTTTCCCTTCCATATTATCCTTATAACTTATAATGCACAGCCTGGATTATGTAGTTGTTTTCTAACCAATATCCCTAGCTCCAGCCTTGGCCTGCCCCAAACCATTCCCTGCACTCCAACCATGCAATCTTCCTAAATCTGATAATGTCTTTCATTGCTTAATACCTTCCCATGCCTCCCCATTACAGTGGTCCAAGTAACTATCTGTGGTTACAAGGCTTTTCTTCATTTGGCACTTAATACTTTTCTAGCTGCTTCTCTTACCCTTTTTACCTTGTACATTCTTCTCCAGACACTTTTAGCTTCATTTAGCTCCAGGAATCTAGTTTGGTTAATTTTGTATCCAGGCCTTTACACATGTTATTTCCAGAAGCACTTTCACTTCCCACCCTCTTTGCCTCAGTTTAAATGTTGTTTTCTCTAAGGAGGCGCCTCCTAATTTCCCAGTGCAGGATTAGCTGCCTCTGCCATAAAGGGGCAGCTAAGTAGGTTTCATAGAAGCCTCCCCCAGAATCATAACACCATTCTAATTCCCAGAACCCATGCATTTTACCTCAGATGGAAAGTGTCTTTGTGAATGTAATTAAAAATCTTGAGATAAGATCATCCTGGACTGTCCAGGTAGACCTAAATACGGTGTCTTTACAAGAGACATACAGAAGACACAGAGAAGAGGAACAGAACACGTGAAGGAGACAAAGATGGGGCTACTCTGTCTCTGTCTCAGTACAAGGAACCATGAGAAGCTGGAAGAGGAAAAGAAAGATACTTTCCTAGAGCCAGAGAGAGTGTGGCTGTGCTGACACCTTGATTTTGGTTCAGTGACAACTGATTTCGGAACTTTTTTTTTTGGACCTCCAGAACTGAGAAAATTTCTGTTATTATAACCCATCAAGCTTGTAGTAAGTGGTTACAGCCACCCTAAGAAGCAAATACTTTCTCTCCTTACTTCTATAATACCTCTGATTATACTGGATTGAAGGGCCTCTTGCTTGCATTCTAAACTTCAGGAGGCTTCCTGTGGGCAGGAGCATGTGTGTGTAACTTACAACTGTATGCCCCACATTGCCTCAGCACTTTGTACAGGTTGATCAATCACTCATCATTTGATATAAGAATGAAGTAGTGTTGGATGATATAGGCAGGGCAAGTCTTGTAGAGGAGATTGCTGTGATAAAATGGGCAGGATCTGGGAAACGTTGAGAAGGAAGTGATTTTTTCCCAGCACCAGAATCATATTAATGAGGTCCTAAAAACCAGAACTGGAATGATATGTGAACTCACAGAGATGTATCAGCCTGACCACCTTGAAATAAAGCTGAATGACACTGAGGTGAGCTCATGGAACTTTCTCCGGCATGCCAGCACTCACCTCATAGGTGTCCTCAGCAACTTTGTGATGCTAGAGGGTCAGTTTGCCACGACACCTGTTTTCTCCCACATGGCTGCCTGGGTCTGGGACTGTAGAGCAGCCTGCTCTAGTATACATGCATTATCATGTTCTCCATGTGTCATTGTTCAAAACAGATTGGGAAATACTAAGGTTAGGACTCATTAAAACTTTTTAAATTGAAATATGAAAAAGACTGACTACGTGCTTATTGGCCCCAGGACAAAATAATATGGTGGGCTCTTGGATCAAAAATCGTTAGAAATTTAAATATGCAATAGCAGAGCATTAATCAAGTGAGAGGCCTTTCTAAGCAAGTGTCTTCTGCACAGACCTTATAGCCAAGAAGCTGATCTTGACTATGAAGAAAGATTTCCTCAAGATAGATATGAGGTTGTTGTGTGAAATGGGTTAAATGGGAATGGGGTAGATTAGAAGGACAAAGTGGGAGGTAACTGCAATAAGGCAGTAAGCAGTAAGGCAGAGGCGAGGAAATCCTTGTTAGGCTAAAATAGTTTCCTAGGAATGTAAATGGAGGAAAGAGATGAACCCAACTGATGATATGTGCTCAGAGTCAGAGGTGTGTTTGGGTCTTTCCAGACTTCTCAGTACAGGTGGAGGCATCAGGGAATCCAGGAACATCAGTGTTTCATTAGCATAGTACTGCGTCAGGCAGGAATGACTAGAATTCAACAGGAGTAGGAGTGAACAGAGGCAATTTACCCAACAAAGGAATTATATATGAATATTGGGTTATTGTCTAATAACATGATGATCTCGGTGAGGGAGATGGATGAAAAGGCAATGAGAGAGAAGTCAGACCTGGTGGACATGTGAATGTGTGTGGTTGGAGAGTGACGGAGACCATCATAAACTCCTGATTGTCCAGCGTGGATGGATGCTATTCCATATCAGCTCATCACAGCCAGATGAGAATGCAGGAGTAGAATGATCAGGGCTTCAGACTTGTAGACAGAAGCCAAATATCTAGAATTGCAAAGTATTTTCCAGTTTTTAAGTGTTGAACACTAAGTTAAATTAAAAAAAAAACAACCAAATACAGCAAGTCAAAGCAAACATACTCAAGGTCAGATCTGGCTCATGGGATCAGCTCATAGCTTTCATATAGAGCACGGTGGGTAGAATGGGCCAGATTCCAATCCTGCCTCCACCTGGACCAGTGGTGATCCTCAGGCAGAGGCCTTCTAAGCCCCGCTTTCCTGTATAATGGGGATAATTTTAGTGTCCACCTCTTAGGGGAGTAGTGAGGATTAAATGATGTCTTTTGGATAAAGTACTGATAGTAGCCAGTGCCTACCATATAAAAGTGAAATGAATGTTGGCTGTTACCATTCTTAAGCATCTACCACATAGCAGGTGCTTTGCTGTGTACTTTATATATTCTGTATATTTAATATTCAGAGCATTCCCATCAAGTAAGCATTATTATAGTTCCTAACCTATTTCCCAAAGGTGGGTTCCAGGATATAAGCTTTCTTGCTTCAAATCATAGACTCTAGGAGGGAGTGAGAAAAAAATTTCAACATTTCTGCCTCCAAAGGTGTTGCTTTTTCAACAATTTTTTTTTTACCTTGTATTGACTCTAGTGGTTTTATTTTGGATTTTTCTCAAAAGACTGTTCTAGCAAATGATATTTTTCAAGGAAAAATCTAACAACAACAACAGAAAACTTCAGAAAGAAAACCACACTCCTCCTCTTCCCATATGCAAACTCACATGTATACACTTGTTCCAAACAAATGTAATAAAGGTGCTGGCAAATTTTTTTCCCATCTAATGGACTGTTAAATAACATTGTTCACACACATTTTTCCTTGTGTTTTTTTTCCAATTCCATGGGACAATTATTGCATTCCTATTCTGCCTCAAAGGTGAGGAAGTTGACAGTATAATGAATATGGGGCTAGGTACAGGCCCTAAGGCAAGAGATTAACTGGAGGACCCTAACACCTTTATTGAGTAGAACAACTCCCTTGCGTTCGCTAAGGAATGGTGACAGGTGTCAGAGCCAAGCATGAGGCTCCAGGCCTCTGTTCCCTGAGAGGCAATTAGGTATTTTCTCAGTAGACTGCACTTCATGTATATCCTATAGTTCTGCAAATTGATCATCCCATCTCCCTCTTCTCTTCAGGGGCTTTAGACTCTGAAACAGTCTACCTAGGATCTTTCAACAATCAGAATTTCTTTAAAAAAATGAAAAAGAAAGAAAAAGACTTACATTGCCAATAAGTTGAAAGGAGCACAAATTTTAACTTGTTCCTGGAACAAATTTTAGGGCACTCAGATTGCAAGTGGAATTGAGATAGTGGTGAGGGGAGGAGGACCCAGCTAGGCAAGCTGGAATGCTGAAATTCATAGCCAACAGCTTTGTTTGGTTTTTTTGACTATGGCCAAGCCAGTAGGGCTGAGAGCATAGTGTTCTCAGTAAGAGCCTTGACAATAATATGATTTGTTTCTTTTCTAAAGCTGAAAATGGCATCTCAGCCTACAGAGGGGAGCTTTCTTCTGAACCTGTAGGATGGGAGGGCCGATTTCATCCTCCAGAATGGGAAATGAAGGCATTACGCAGAGTAGAATGGAAATGTCATCTGTCAATGACATTTGCCTAAACAATATGTATTTTTATTTTGGAGAAACTTTTTTTTTTTTTTGTCATGAATAGGATTTCAGACTAATGTGCTCTTCTTTCCTGATCACTGGGTTGAAACTGAGTATCTCCTCTCTCCTAGGGCCATCATATTAGTGCTATTTTGGTGATGGACAACCAAAATTAAGTCCTGAAGCTTGACCCAAGCTGGCTGATACTTTTAGGCCTTGGTCTTATAGCTGCCTAAATGGTTTATTTTCTTCATAGTTTTCTGAATTCATTTGGGAATTAGGAGGATGTTGAGTAAGTTTCAGCTTTCTCAAAGGAGAAAGTTGAAAGCTAGTAGGGCACTTGATGGCAGCAGTTACACTACAAACAGAAGTAAGGTTTCTCTTGCTTTCATCAGGGAAAAGCTTGGCTCTGGCCAAAGCATTGCTCTCATGCTGCAGGGAAACAATGAGACACCAAAGATGAGATCTCAGCCCCTGGTGAACTTGCAGTACAGTGCAAGAGCAAGGTGCACTCATGTGCTCATAGTGAAAAACAGGTAAATGGACCTTTGATTTACGAACTCAGTTTGTTCACGAGGTCTGGTTGTAACTCAAGTTGGTCAATTGAAGGCTCAGGCTCCTCTACACAGCCTTCAAAGTCTCTCTCCTGTATACAGGCAGGTCTCAGTGCCCTTAGAGAGACATTGGATTTCTCAATTACCTCACACAGGAAAGAATATTGTAATGTTCCTTCCAGAACTCTTTAATTGTTAAATCTGTACCTGAGACTATCTGGAAGCACAAGTGGCTGGCAACTGGGTCATAACTCAAGACTTTGTAAGTTAAAACTAAAATTTCAGTTGTAGCCCAAGTTATTTGTATATCAGGCTGGTTGTAACACAGGGTTCACTATACCTTCCATCATGTAAGTTCATTTCCAAGTTAATAACATGCACTCAAATTGTGTCTGCTAATATAAGTTATATTGTGAAGGCTGAGTGGATTTGGGGGCTGGAAAACCACAATCCATTTTCTTCTTTAGATCATGCAGAATTTTCTCACCTTTTACGACTTTGTTTCTATGTGTAGATGTATTGATCTTTGTGGTTCTCGTAGCAAATACCAGAGGTTCTGTGGGATCATCCTGCTGGAGGAAATGTCGCCTCTGCTCTCCTTTTATATAGATTCTGCTTCATTCAGTGTTCCAGTGGAGTGAGAAGTTGGTACCCAGCCAATGACGGGAAGAGTGATGGGTAAGTGTCTTGGGTGGAGATGGAAAAGCAATGAAACCTCCATAAAGTGATTCATTTTTACAAAAAAATTTAAATCTTGGCTGTGATTAGTCCTGGAGCCTTAGACAACACTTTCTCTGTGAGCCTCCCAGCCTTTGGGATATTCTCAGTTTCCTCATCTAGAAAATAGGAATGGCAATTGCCTCAGGCAGTGTTATGAAGATAAGGACATAGGATACAGGATAATACCTAATTTGATTCTCTGTCATACCTTTGGCATGTAGTAAATATGGAATCTGGATGTGGTAGAGAGAATGAGAGCATAGGATGTGTAAAAATCAAGGGCAAGTACAAATACACTAAATGGAAATTATGCATATATGGGCTAAGAGAGAGGTAGGGGATTGTTTGTGTATCAGGTAATAGGGGGACAGCAGATAAAGCTATCCACATCACTCTGGGAAACTTTCACATACATGATCCTCCACAGGACCTATCCTTTAGCACAGCCAAGCTTGGAGGGTTCTTCATGATGGTTTGGGTTTGGTCAGGGTTACCCTGTGGGCTCCTGGTTCTGCTTCTCTTCCTGCTGATAAAGGGTGAAGGAGAAATGCTCCACTTGTCTAGGATTCCAAGATTTAGCAAGTAAAAATATAGGATACAGAGTTAACTGAGTTTCAAGTAAACAATGAATAATTGTTTAGTATAAATATGTCCTATGCCATATTTATGATGTTCTTATTATAAAGAAATTCTACTGTTATCTGAAATTGAAATTTAACTGAGTATCCTATAGTACATTTGGCAACCTTCTTCCTATTATTCCAACATCTGAGCGGTTAACAGTAGAACTAGCAAGAAGCATCACACTGGCATCTTGAGGAAGAGGAACTAACATTGCCTTGGATGGCTGGGTCAATTCAAGCAAACTGTCCTGGATGGTGCAAAGTGACAAAGTTTTCCATTGTCAGAAAGCTGTATTAGCTCCACTCTCCTCTTGGAATCAGGGACCCTCCTGACACAGGTTCTGAAATTGATGACCTGGACTGTGTGGTAGCTTTGAGACTTTGGCCCCAGAGGGAGATGCTGCCTAAGGACCTAAAGGGGATCACATGTGTCTATAGGGCAGGAGTTTTTAAGGTTCCAGTCAGTTCTCAGTCTCAAGAGGAAGCCAATAGGGTAAGAAAACCAGACAGAGTGTGAAGGGGATTCATTCTTCATCTTTTAGAATAGCGAGTTCAAAAAACTTGTTTAAAAAGCTTATATAGCTTTTGATAGCTATGTTGAGGCAACAAACCGTTCCCAAATATTAAAATTACAACTTATTTTTTGCTTAGATCTCAGGTGTGTGGTAGTGGTAGCCAGCCTCCAAGGAGGCCCCAGTGATCCTTTCCTCTTGTTATGCATACCCTTGCGCTGTCCCTTCCCATATACCAGAGCTGGTCTGTATAACTACTGTAGCACTACAGAAATGGGAAGATGCATCACTTCTGAGATTAGGTTATAAAAGACACTGCACCCTCTGTCTTGGGCATATGTTCTTGGGCACACACTATCCCTGTCTTTCGGAGTCTACTTACTTTTGAGGAAGCTGTTGCTATGTTGAATAGTTGCTCCATATGGCTGCCACAAAGGTTACTAAACTTGACACTAAATGCACACTATACAGAAAGAAAAGTTGATAAATTGCAAATGTAAAATCTTCACTCTCTGAAAGATCCTCTTAAGAGGAATAAAAGAAAACATATATAATAGGAGAAAATATTTGCTAACCATGTATCTCACAAAGGACTAATATCTGGATGTACAAAAAATTCTCAAAACCAAACAGTACAAAAACTAAACACCCCAATTAGAAAATGGGCAAAATACATACACAGACATTTTCCCAAGGACAATATAAAAATAGTAATAAGCACATGAAACAATGTGCAAAATGAATAACCACAAGAGAAATGAAAATTTAAACCACAATAAAACAGCAGTACACCCCTATCTGAATGACTAAAATGAAACATAATGACAACACCAAGATGAGTCAAACAAACTACGATAAACCCAAACCATGGAATACTATTCAGTAACAAGGGAGAATAAACTATTAATAAGTGTAACACACAACTTGGATCAATTTCCAGAGCATTACGCTGAGTCAAAACAAAACAAAACAAAACAAATCAAAAGGTTCACATTCTATGATTCTATTTATGTAACATTCTTGAAATGGTAAAATTACAGAAATAGAGGACAGATTAATAGTTGCTAGGGCAAGGCAAGACAAGAGGGTGGTAGACGTGCTTTATTTTTTATTTTTATTTATTTATCTATTTATTTTTTTTCTTAAATTTTTTTATTGGTACATTTTAGGTAAACAATACAGTTACACTTATCATTGGGTGCTTGTACCTGTACATGATGTATCTTGGTTCTCATTTATTCCCCATTACCTGTGCGCCCTTCACTAATAAACCCTTCCCTATTTACATACTTCGTTTCCATTTTTTTTTCTTTTCTCATAATTTTTCCTTTCCCTTCTTTCCTTTCTCCTTCCCCTCCCACCACCCCTACACCTTTGGACCTTTTCCTATTTCAAAGTATTAATTATTAGTTATTAATCCTTTTAGTCCTTATTTACACTCTCAGTTTCTCACACTAGAGAAACTATTCAGTATTTACACCTGTGTCCTATTTATTTCACTTAAGAAGATGGCCTCAATATGCATCCATTTAGCTATAAATGACTCTAGTTTCTCGTTCTTTATGGCTGAGTAGTACTCCATTTTATATATAAAAAAACATATCTTCTTTATCCAGTTTCCAGTTGATGGGCACTTGGGCTGTTTCCAAGTTTTAGCTATTACAAATTGTGCTGCTATGAACATGAATGCACATATATCACTGTGGTATGATTCTTTTAATTCTTTTGGGAAAATACCCAAAAGGGAAATAGCTGGGTCAAATGGGACCTCCAGTCCTAGTTCTTTGAGGCATCTCCACATTGATTTCCACAGTGGTTGCACCAGTCTGCACTCCCACCAACAATGGAGAAGGGTT